ACCTAGTATTAAAATTTTGGACTTTTATCCGCCTAATTACTCAAAATTTACCTATGTGCATCGGTTGCCGAGAAAAAAAGTTTCACCACACTGAACTAGAAAAATCTCAACGGGAAATTGCAGAAATACTCAATATTAATAGACAGCCGAAAACCAGCGAGAAAAAAATATTCAATATAAGAGACGAAAAGTGGTTGCTCCTACAAGTAACCTATAACCCCGCTAAGTTTAGCAAAAATCGCAGAGAAAAATCTGGAAAAGAAATGTAACCCAAAAACAATTCGAAAAAAATTTCGTAAGCATTGTCTTCAGGTTACAGTTGCACTGAAAAAGCCATTCATAAACCCCCGAAAACCGGAAAATCCGATAGGAGTTCGTTCAGGAACACAAAAAAAAAAAATATTTTTCATGTTGCAAATCTGTTCATTATGCCGATGAAAGCAAATTTAATTTGTTTTGGGTCGGATGAACCAAGTGAGGTATGACACAAGGCCGCCGGAGTAGAAAATATCATTTTATTAAAGGAAAAATTTAAACATCATACACAAAAAACTTGGTAAAATCTATTACGCCAAGGTTGAAAGCTGTAAAACACAACAAAGGATATCATACAAAGTATTAACCATCCAAAAATCCGTTTGTTAAAAAACGTTATCTTTTATACTTTTCAATGTGAGGTTGCTATTGCTTTTGTTTAACAAAAATACATTTTAATTCAATGATTAACACATTAATTTTTATTATAAAAGAACTATTGTCTATTTCAATAGTATCTTCGTTATTATTGTTACTCATATTATCAAACTCAAGTTGTATATTTTGAAATGCGTTGCCTAGCTCACCTTCTTAAAATATATTATACTTTTGTCTGTTCATTTCTATAGTCTCTATTTATTGAGCACTGTTGTTATGTGTTAACACGCAGAAGCTCATTTTCTTCTGATCTCCACGGTTTGTATAGCATCAAAATCTCTCTAAAAAAATCATATCCATGGCTACTTATGGCATATTGTCTATATCTTATAACGTGTGGCATTCTTCTTATACATTACGGTATTTCAATATCTTCTTGCTCTAGTATTTTAGAGTTTTGCTGAAATTATAGTTCGCTGCAAACTCTGCAGGGCATAAATCGTATCATAAATATAAATTTATGAGCTATGTGCTTCAATTTTTGATCCAGAGAAAAGTTTCCCGTCTGAATTTCCTCGACAGCGTCTCTTAATATCTTCGACATCCCCCTATTCGACTGGTTTATATTATATAGCTACAAAAGGTGTATGCGTCAAAAATAAACTGGATATCCATATTAGATCTATGTAATGCTTATAATTTGGAATTGATTGTGTTAACATTTTTATCCGAATGTTTCTACTGCTGTTTTAAAGGGCCCTATACACTATACATCATGATGCCGCACACCATTTAACATAGTACGTGCAATTTTTGAAAGTTTATTTATGTATGTGTGACACACACAATACATGAAGAAAATCAAAATAGTTTTGATTTTGAAAATAAAAAAAAAAGAATTTACGAGTCAAAATGCAATTTTTGGGACAAAAATCCATTTTTTAGAATAAAGATTGAAGAGTTTGCCATACACTAGTCAGTCTCACATAGGTGTACTTCGACATAACAGTATGATTTATAGTGAATGGGACCCTTAATGAGGACCTTAAACCCAGCATGTATTCTTCGTAGTCCATACTAATGTTGTCATGTTGCAATCATCTGACTATGAGACGACATCTTTAGATAAATAAAAGATATTTTTTTCTACCCAATATTCACGGGGACAAGAGCGGTTATGGTTGTGGAATTGGTAAGTATTGTATTGAGCTACTTTTTGATCGGAGCTGTCAGTACTTATATATCTTTCTATAAATTCAATTACTGTTGGGAATGGTGTTGTATCATTTAAATCTATTTCGAAGCATCTTTTAATCAGTACATTCCGTGGACGTGAGAAAATCCACATTGCGCACATTTGACTGAATTGTTGCTTATTGGTTTTGCCTTTTCCCCAAAAGTCAGCCATTTAATTTCCGCTGCAAATAGAGTTAAAAATAAGGATGGACGGCTCAATTACCTTATCATTGTTAACACCTTCTTCTTTCTTCTGATTTTCAAATGGTACATTTTGCAACAAAGTCTGTTGTCCTCCGGGAGTCAACACTTCATTACATCATAGTTCTCATTTCCGTTATGGACTGGTGAGGTCTTGTTGTTTGGGCGTTGTAAATGTCAATAATAATATCAGTACCCCCGTGGTCAGCAATAAAAGGAAGACCATGTTGAGTGTTGACAAACGACGATTTAAGTACAGTTGTACATCTTGTGCCTGATGAAATGTTCGTGAAAGAGGGGTAACGGTGTCATTGGCATTAATTGTTACATTTACCACCGCACCTCTTATAGCACTTTGTCTTTAAAACCCTAGCAACACAATTATCATGAATGGTAATCTTGCAGTTACCGGTCTTCGGGATATTCAAGGTCATTTGATTGTGGAATTTTCGGATTCTTTTTGTTTTTATGTTATCTCACACAAGTTATGTTATCTTCGACAGAACTTATACACATATTTCGGTTTTGGAAATGTCTGTACCAACCCAACATACCATTCAGTAATCAAATCTCAATACCACTTGAGAACAAGCTTATAATAATAGTTGTTCTTAAGCTTTTTTTTAGTAATATTAAAAAAATGTTGTTAAAATGTGAATTCACAAACAGTTTTCAACTATGCTTGAGAAACTATTGTTGTACACAAATGTTTCTCAAGTGTTGTTAAAGAAATCTGACTATTGAGAAAAACTTATTATTCTCAATAGTTTTTTAAATGTGAATTCACAAGCAATTCTCAACTATGCTTGAGAAACTATTGTTGTACACAATTGTTTCTCAAGTATAATTCAATCTGACGATTGAGAAAACCTTCTTATTCTCAATAGTTTTTTAATCGACGCTGTCGTCGTTTGCCCACGCGTCAGCTATAAACTGGTACCGTTAGTTATTTTCATGGAATTTGTGTTGTTTTGTTTTGCCTGTAAATTCATTGCAAAGTTTGTTAAGCGAGCGGACGGACGTGCATTTTCATTGTGTAAAAAATATAATAAAAGGTAATAAAATGCCAAATAAATATAAAAAAAGTGTGAGAAGAGAAACGAATGAAGTAATAGAACTTCTTTTAAACAATAAAAAACAAAAAATAAGTGAATGTGAAGATTCCAGTGCTGGTGTTTCCAATTGTGACCAAATTAAAGAAAATAATTGCGAATATTTAAGCTGTACCGAGAGTGATGAATCGTCAATTACTAATATTTTTGAAAACTTCAATATACGCAATGAACTGGCTCAGTGGAGTGTAAAATATTTAATTTCTAACCAAGCATTGAATGATCTGTTGGTAATTATAAAAAAAATAGAACCAAATCTACCAAACGACGCTAGAACATTAAAAAAAACTCCTAGAGATGCGCCAATTATTCAGCTTGAAGGTGGAGAATATGTGCACTATGGCCTAAAAGACTGCTTGACCGATTTCCTGACTAATTCTTCATATGAAAGTGACAATATTGCATTAAATATAAATGTTGACGGGCTACCGTTAGCAAAAAGTTCGCTGGCTCAAGCTTGGCCAATATTAGTAAATGTGAATGGCACAAAACAGGTACATACTGTAGGAGTTTACACAGGCAACAGTAAACCCAAAGACATAAATACATTTTTAGCACCCTTCATTGAGGAACTCAACGAAATTATTGCCACTAATTTTTCATACAACAATAAAACCTTTAATGTAAGCTGCCGATCATTTATATGTGATGCCCCGGCAAGGTCACTTGTTATGGGTATCAAAAGCCATACAGGCTACAATTGCTGTCATAAGTGTACGCAAAGAGGAGAATATGTTCAAAATCGAATGATTTTCAAACTTGAAAATTGTGGTTTACGAACTGATGAAAGTTTTAGAGCTCGTCAATATAAAAATCATCACACAACAAACTCCCAAATAGTGATAGAAAAGTTACCAATAGACATAGTCCAATCATTTCCATTTGACTACATGCACGTTGTATGCCTTGGAGTTGTTAAGTCCTTAATGACGGCGTGGATTAAAAAAAGAAATTGCTCTTTTTCGCTGCGACCAGAACAAATGAAATTGTTAGATTATAAACTCCAACAACTTATACCCCATACACCTCGGGAATTTTGTAGAAGGCCACGAGGCTTGAAGGAATTTGAGCGATACAAGGCCACAGAATTTCGGCAGTTTCTTCTTTACACTGGTCCTTTTGTATTAAAAAATATTTTAAATGAAAGTCTTTATTCGCATTTTTTGCTATTAAGTTTGGCTTTACGAATTCTATTAGATCAAAACAAATGCAAAACACATAACGAGTGTGCTGAAGATATGCTAAAACAATTTGTGAGAAACGTTCCAGATAATTATAATGAAACCACCTTGACTTACAACTTCCACTGCCTAACTCACCTAGCAAGTGATGCTTTACTATATGGTTCATTAGAAAACATAAGTGCTTTTAAATTTGAAAACAAGTTAGGAAAATTAAAACGTCTTGTAAAAAAAAAGAATAACATTTCCGCCCAGCTATACAATAGATTCGTTGAACAAAGCCTAAATTACTTAAATTCAGAGGGGTATGAAATTTTAGAAAAAAGTACTAATACCTTTGTTCAAAATAAATATTTATATTTGTCAATTGATGCTCCTAACAATTTTTATAGTGTTGGACAAGAAGTTTTTAAAGTCGAATCAATAGATTGCACAGAACGACAAAGAATTTTTGGAAAAAAGGTTCAGAATTTGGAAGAAATGTTTCACGGTCCACTGAAATCTTCTCACTTAAATATATGGCAAACATCACACTTAGAATTATCAGAAACAACCCAGGAACACAATTTACATGAAATAATAAAAATGACGTATTTCTTAATTGACGATCAAATAGGTTTTTTCCCACTCATTCACCATGGCTGATGATTACAACCGATATTTCACCAACGAACAACGCAACATAACGACCCTGGAACCATCGACAATAAATCAAAACAACATCATCACTACAAATTTCCCCAGCTCAGAAGGTAAAAAAGAATATATTAAAAAATCCATAAAAAAGTTTGATACATATTTTTTATTTCAGAAATAGCGGATCAAGTGGTGGCCGCAATTCAGCCAATGTTCACCAGGTTAACTAACGAAATTCAAAGTTTGCGCAAGGAATTGCAGATATTAAAGAAGCAAAATGAAGAACCACAACGAAAAGTAATGCCAGCAGCACCTTTCAAAGAAATTGAGCTATTCTTTGATTTTGAAAAACAGCTCCAGGAAAACAGCGAGGACTTACAATTGTTTGTAAGTTTTAGTGGTATCATATTTATTGTACATACAAATATATAGTTTTTTTCTTATCACCTTTTTCAGGAAAAGGAGTTAAAATTAGTAGCAAAAGCTCCAAATTTTACAAAAAATTGCTGGAGAAAACTTTTAACAGATAAAATAGCAGAAATGTTATGTTGGAAAGGCACGGAAAAAAAGAAAAGCGTTAGAAATCTGTGCACAACAATGGCAATAAAAAGTAAGTAAAAAATTAAAAAAATACAAAATTTAAATTCAATGTTATTAATATTTTTAATATTTATAGGTGCAGCATTGTCTATTGGGGTCACTGAAGACCTATTTATTAAGGACACCCGCACATTTTTTCAATTTGCCAAAAATCGGGGCAAGCTTCGGGATAATTATAAATTTAAAAAAACCCAATGAAATATTAAACTATTTTTTTACTTATTATTATTAACTATAATTTTTTTACTATATAATTTTATAATTTTAACTTTAAGCGGTATAAATAAAATTGAATATAATAAAATTTGAATTAACACATGTATAATGAATTGCATTATTTGCTTATTATTATCAAGCTTATAAAAATATTGAGATGAGTAAGCTTATATACACACTAGTTAAGATAATATTAGATTTGTAAGCTTATTCTACAATTGAAAGAATAAGCTTTAAGATAATATTACATTTGTAAGCTTATTCTACAATTGCAAGAATAAGCTTTTATTAATATTACACAAGTAATTGTATCATAAGGGTTCCGTTTTGATTTTTCTACAATTATTAATAAACATTTCTCAAGATTTTCTCAAGACTTTTTCAAGCTTAATGCTTGTGTTGGTAAGCTTAATATAATATTATTCTCAATACTTTTGGTTTGTTGGGAAAGAATAAATATGAAATGAATGTTAATGTGAGAAACATAGTCCATCACAACATATGCATATAACTGTTGGCCACATTTTTATTGCTTCATTGTGTTTACTATGCACATCCGTTTGCCCGTTCCATACTTCTAAATGGACCTGTGCTCGTCTTTTTCTATTCTAATATTAACAAATCAAAATTTGAGTGCCTTGCTGCGACACGTCTATCATTCATACTCGATATTTTTTGAGCTCGTTCTCTAATTGCTGGATCATGTCTTCTTTCGCGCCTTGCAGATGTATTTCTGGCTTGCTGCGTTATTTCATATAACATACCTGGCCCTCTTAAAGAGTGTTGTTGGGTGATTATATAATTTCCTGCGCCCTAATGATAGGATCCTGCCTCCTTTCCTGGTGCTAAAGGAAATTTTTTGACTGTTCCTATCTCTATCGGAGAAACGTCTACGAATTGTAGTGTTTCGTTGCTGTTATTCTTCTTTATGAAGAACTTAAGTGTCTTATCTGATGTTTAATACTGTTTCTTACCTGTTCTATTCCCCGATATTTCGAATCAAACGCCTTCCATGCTTTTTATTGCTTGCTCTTCTTGTCTAGTAGCGGAACTGTCACGTCTTTTTCTCGGTGCTGTTCCGTATTCCTTAATTGCTCCGCTTCATTATTCGAATGGATTGTACGCCTTTGTCGGTGTTCGATCGTATTTCAAACTTGTTCATTATGACGAATATTCGTTAGAACGCATCAATGTATGGGCATATGAATCTCTGGTCCTCTCCTGGTTCAGAAATTCTTCATCTCCACGACGGCTAGCTCTCTATTTGGAATTACCACTTATATTCGTCTCGCTTGAATTGATCGCAGTCATACCTTATTGCCTGCTTTCGCCTGGAATTACTCTGTCCTTCGGCCCTCGACATTTTATTAAATATTTTATTTTGCACATATACTATCACTTTATTAATATACTTTTCTAACATTCACAATTGCACCACATTAACGATTGGAAATTTTAGGACAGGAAAGAATTTTATTTGTTTTCAAAAATTTTCTTCTAAATTGGTCACAATTCGTCTCAAATTTTGATGAACGAAAGAGCTTATGGAAGGTTTGTGTTTAAAGCGATTGATTGGAAAAGAATAGTTTTTGCAATTAAATTGGAAAAAATTAAAATGATGTCTTATAGTGCAAGTATTGTTCAGACACTTACTGAACTCAAAAACTGTTTACTTATTTTCTTATTGTCAACAAGAATTTTTTATTGCACATAATTAATTTCGATTTTAATATTGCTTCGATAGACTCAATATAGAAGAAGTTTCACGCATCTGAAATGTACAATAACCAATAGTAAAGATGAAAATATTGTAATATGGAACTTTGACACAATCTTTTGGTGCCATTGAAAATGCCGGCGAAAAAATTAAGAATAAATAAATAATTCCCTGCAATAAGCCGCCAACACCTACGTCACTACCAACAATATCATCATCCACATGAACAATATTATTATCCACATCAACAATATAACAATCCACTACAACACCACCTCAAAACAGCACTACTACTTTCATAATCCGCAACATCAACAAAATTCTACCATCCTCAATACCAATAACAGAACCACAATTCACAACAAAATCAGCAACCACACAACCCACCACATCTACGCTTGCAGCTGCAGCACCTAAAAATCGATAGCCCTGCAACAAACCCGTAAATACTTTTTGTATTATCAATTTTGCTATTTATTTTAAGATAATTTTTAAACTGATATATATGGCGTTCATAATATCCCCATTATCAAGGTGTATTAAATAAGGTGTAAGTGACAATCATATGGTTTCAAAGTTTTTTCGTCTTTGTTTGTGAATCTAACACATGTTTGAAATATTTTTTTTTTTAATTTTAAAACTTTATAAACTAATGCGAAGATGAATAGTTTTTGGAACAAAGATTTTATTAATGGGAAGGGGTCATATCTTAGCTTCCCAAAGAACCAAATTTAAAGCCCTGTCGCGGACCATTTCAAACACTTACAAGTCATGGGCTGTGGCATGAATTTGGGAATTTTATTTTGACAAGAATTCTGCTCAAGGCTAACCACCAATAAAATTTCTGTCAAAAAAGAGATTTGTTGCGAGGGGAAAATCTTAAATTGCAGCGAATGTTTGCCACCCACTTCGATATCTTCAGGTTTAGAAAGCAATATGTAGAAGTAATTTTGATTGTATAAGAAATTCAGTTGCATATCTTGCATTAGAATCTGTCGATGGTGAAGTTGTTTGCCGAGATCCGGCGAACCACCTCAATTTTATGTTTAGATGTGGAGGTTCCAAGTGAAGTTGTCCCCAAGATCCGGACAATCACCTCAATTTTATATTTGGAAGGGCAGCTTTAGAAGCCGATTTTCGGGTAATACGGACTTTCTTGAAAAATATGTATGGTTGTTATCAGGAAATCGGCGGTAATATAAAAATAATGGTGTTTCCGACCAGGATGGGCATTTTTAAGGGCATTTATTTTCTATTTTCGATATAATTTTTCTTTAATTATACAGCTTTTGTCAAAAAAATGTATTTGTTTTTGTTTCTTCAAAAAATAAACTAATTTTCAGCATGACAATTTAATTTCTATAACAACAATGTTGTTTTTGTAAAATGTTCGTTGTTGTAGCTGAGGCATACACCTTATTAAATACACCTTGCCCATTATATGGTGGAATACAGTTATCTGGTAGAACATTTAGCTATTTTAATATAAAAAGAAGGTAGTATTAGGAATACCCCTGAAAGGGGGCTAATATATCTAAAAAAACGTAACGTATTTTGCGAAGTGAAAACGAACCGCCATTCCACCAACACTTGCATATTTTACCATAACACGAAATTAATTCTGTGTAAAATGCTTTGCAAACATGCCGTTTTCATGCTACGAAAGCGAAGAGATTACAACTTGTTTTGCTTATTGGGGCGCCATGATGGAACTTGAATTGTTTTTTGTTTATTATCTTCGAAGTGTGCTGCTTTTTAGCAAATCAGTTTTTTAAAAAGTAAACATATTAATATAATTTCTAAACGGCACATACATTAGAAATTTTTACCGGGTTAACCTACTTTATAAGGATTTATTTGATATATATGCAAAGGAATTGACAATTGAAATCCACTGGCTTAACGAAATCCGGTTAAATGTAAACGTACCATAAGTTAAATAAATTTGTTGAATTATTGGTTGTGTAAAAACAACCAAAAAAGTTAAAGAAGCGAAAAAAACATTGCAAATGAAGAAATAGACATGTCCATGCAAGCGAAAAGCTTAAGGCACCATCCAAAAAAATGTTAAATTTTTCCTTCATATTCCACAATCTACCGCAGTCTTTACTAGAATTGGAGGAACAAGACAGAAGACGGCGAAAATGCTTTGGTATGTAAACGTCAGAATCCAAATTGTAAAAGTTAAAATAAAAATTTTTCTTAAAGGGATATTAAATGGACTAACGGCACATCCTTACAAAAATATGTGCGGAATTGCCTTAAAGCGGTACTTCTACGCCAAGCAGCATGTAGCTTTTCTGGGTTTGGGCACCATGGAACTACACCTGTCCATGCACTAACAGTAATGAATATAATAAACGGTAAAAAATTCTAAATTTGACATGGAATTACTGAACATCACGTCTCATTAATTTTTTCATACTTAATTTAATATTGAATGTATATACTAAATTACAATATCTATTACATTATAAATTTAAAATAAAGAAAATCATCGTTATAACTGAAAACCTGATAAAATAATCAAATTGAAATTTCTTGCTATAAGTAATTTATAAGCTTTAAAGAAGCATACAAACTATTTAAAAGTGCAACATTATCGTGATATACGTACAACAATACTTTATAGTATATTTATACATACATCTCTCTTTTTTTAATAGCCAAAGAATTCATTGATAAATGTAACAATAACTATTCAGTATAAAAAAGTTAACGTGCCGCTTTTGCATTGCGAAAACGGAACACAAAAGGGGAACGTTTTCGTTGTCTTATATGAAAAATTGATTTCGTTAGCGTTTGTTTAGGTGCCGTTTTTCTTAGAGGGTGTTTGTAATTTTTATATTGAGTTTAAATTTGAATCCAAAATAACAAATTACGCCAAATTATCAGGCATGTCACAGATTTTGATCGGAATGGTTTCAATTTCGTATTTCCCTTCCGCTCGTTTTAATTTTACCTTCTTCAAATTCCGATTGATTTGATGAGTTCCAATTTAAATATGGCAAAATTATTCTAATCAAAACAAAAACCACAACAAATTCATATAAGTTCCGTTCCAAAACCGAAAAAAATCTATAATGTTACAAGTTTTGCGACTTTTTACTCGAAAACCGGTCCTGAACCCACAAAACTCGTAAAACATAGAATCAAATTTAAGAGAGCACAAAACAAAATGGCTTTGGCTTTGTAAACTTTTTACTCGAGAAATTTGGCCGAGTAAAAATGGTAAATTGGAATGCCTACTTCTGACTGGCTGTTATGTTGATTTTGACGTATTGCCATCTAATTTTGGCATATTTACTAGATTTGCGTTCGGGAACTTTTCAAATTATTTTGTACTCTGAGAGCGATTTCGAAATGTTTCCCTTTTACTAGCTTTACTATTAAAAAAGTACTGGAACAAAACAATAGCTGTGTTCCCAAACCTGCAATATAGTACTACATTGTACTAGTTTTGCAATTGTTGCTAGAAAAGCGTTTCCTTACGTCGAAAAGTAGGAAAAATTGAAGTTAAATTTAAGAGAGTTAAAACCAAAATGGCGTTCTCTTCTCCTATGTTCTGCAAGACCAATTTGGCCTAGCACGAAATAGTAAATGTAGTAAATTATGAATTTGACATTTGATTGCCAGGGATATACAGTCCGAAATAAAGCATATGAAAGTTAGGGCTTCAACAAAAGGGACACCCGCACAGACGCACACACATTTGCTTAAAAAAAAACAAATAAGAAATTAAAAATGGACAAACAGTTTTTTTATTCTCTTTTGAATGAAGATGAATGGCTGGCAGAAGATTCAAATAAAGATATTATAGAATGAAGACTTGGGTTGGTCAATCGTACCAAAATATATTGGGCTTAAGACAAGTTTAGGGGCTCCACTTGGATCGCTTTGACATTTTTACAGTAAGTAGTCATCGGTGAACTGATTACAGTGATATGGGGAGAAATGCATACTTCCCGAGATATGGGCCTTGAAAGTTCGGAGAGTATGTTGTTTTAATTAGCCGTATCATTTTAAAGGTTATGGTTTGTGTTATATAACTAGATGAAGAATATATTGCGTAGCCATGTATGAGCCTGTCCATATGTGAATGTCTTATTCTTAAGTTCTCTAAAAAATACCCGGTATAACCTTTTAATGATACCCATATTGCCTAGGTGGCAATAGAAAAAGGGTTGTTTTAAACGAAATATGTTCCGAAATTTCAAGGCTAATATCTCGGGAAGTATGCATTTTCCCACATGAAATGTATATCACTGTAATCCGCACAAGGAGGGCTACTTACGGTAATCATTTCAAAATGATCCGAATGGAGCCCCTAAACTTGACTTGTTCCATAGTTGTTCGCAAAATATCTACCAATTTCAATAGCATTAACATTATGGGAGCGTCCAGCCATGTAAGCCTTTCCGGGCTCGGAGTCGTCGGAAACTCCACTTCCAAATATTCGATAAGGCTTTCCTCTAAATTATACAAATAAAAAAATAAACAAAAAATATTTATATTATCAAAATCACGCAATCGACGCCGTTTAACTTTTTGTTTTTTTTTGTGCATTAGGTTTCTGCAGTCTTTTTTTTTTGTCCTTAACAAATGAAATTTTTGATTTTGACGTTTCTTCATGTTTTAACTATTTTTCGTTCCTTTACTTTTTGCGCAAATCTTGTATGTAAGAGTAATTTTTGATAGTTCGCTCTTTTATCCGTATCAAAATGTACGGGAACCAACCTAATATAAACAAGAATCGGAAAATATATTGTATGTCCCAATTTAGATTAGGCGAGTTTACTTGCGGCAAGTCTTTGTTTGTAGGAGAGACGGGAAAGGGGTATAGAAAGTCCTGATTTATATTAGGCGAGTTTACTTGCGGCAATTTTTATCGTTCTCTTTTGAACTTGCTCCATGCGTCTATACAAGGCAATTCGGTTTCCAAAATATTTTTTATTTGTTGTTTTTTCACATTTAAATATATATAAAATGTCAACAAATACGAAATACACAAAACGAATTGCCAGAAAATTGTCGGTACGAGCAATTTTTTTTTCATTTCTATACCCCTTGCCCCTCTCTCCTACAAACAAAGACTTGCCGCAAGTAAACTCGCCTAATCTAAATCTAGACAAATGAAAAAAAATTGCTCGTACCGACAATTTTCTGGCAATTCGTTTTGTGTATTTCGTATTTGTTGACATTTTATATATATTTAAATGTGAAAAAACAACAAATAAAAAATATTTTGGAAACCGAATTGCCTTGTATAGACGCATGGAGCAAGTTCAGAAGAGAACGATAAAAATTGCCGCAAGTAAACTCGCCTAATATAAATCAGGACTATTTTAAACACATTGATATTGTTAAAAAACTGTTTTTGGATTTTTTGTTTCTTTCCTTTTTTTTTGCTTTAGTATATCATTCGTAATGCCAGATTGTAAAATTCTATAAATCATATTAAAGAATTTTACAATCTGGTATTATCAATCTAAACAATGCAAGATTTTGAAAAGAATGAACAAAAATTGAATTTAAATGTGAATTTTCAAATAAAAACAATATACTTTTTATTATAAAGTGAAGCTATCGATTGGAATTCATTTCTGCAACATGCCTGTATGTAAATCAAATAATTTAATGGAGCTAAATAATAAACTGGCCCAAGAAATTATAATTTATATTAATATTGATGCTATTCAAATTTAAGGATTTTGAGCAGATTTTCAAGCTGAATTGGTCCTAATTTGATTTTTTTATTTTCTCATTTTGTGTAAAATCTTCTTACTAATAAAATTGTCAACATCGTTTTGGTATAGCTCCCGACTCTTTTTCGGTATTTTGAAGACTTTAGCAGCATGGCTGTATTGTGGTATATAGATAAATGGTAAATAAAGGTTCGTTTTATTCCTCCAAGGCCAATAAATGTCTTATATTATATGTAAACGTTCGAATAAAAAAGTAAAATAAAGTTTTTTTTTCATTAAATTACTTTAATGTGAAATTACATAGTAGCAGTGACTTATTGTGAATATTAAATGCATGCAACCTGTAATCATTTTACAGTGAATAACGTTTATTCGTTCAATAGTTCATGCGCTCCTTTAGTGAATAAAACAGCTGTGGTAGGTTGAACCACACAACACAATTCTATTTTGTAATCACTTAAGGAAAATTAGTAATAAATTCACAGAAATTAAATAATTTCCCCCAAAAATGGCGTTAATACAAAGAGCTGTGAAAGAACTTGTATTCAAATCCCTGAAGGTGAGCTACTGTTAAATTTATTCTTTAGCTTTCATTTATTTTTTGCACAATTTTCAGGTACCGGTACCCACACGTTTTTCAAGTTACAAATCATCCGATATGGTAAAATCTCTGGATCAATATCCTGAAGTCGAAGTATTAAAGAATCCTCCAGAATGGAAATACGTTGAACGCCTGCTGCCCAAACCTGTCATACCCAAAGTAGCTGAAAAGCCGGAATATCCATCTGGCTGGAAACCACAATCAGTTGGTCTGAAAGACATGGACAAGTTGGAATACTATGTAGCCCGTTCACGTAATCATATGGTTCCAGTCTACTTGGAAACAACATTCAGAGGACAGCGCAGGGTTACAGTGCTCAAACGTGTACAAGGCAACATATGGCAACTTGAAAAAGAACTCCGGGCTGTGGTGGAAAAGGAACGTAAGGGTAAAATGTGCGCCACCCGTGTCAACGAAATGAGCGGACAGATACGCATACACGGCGACTATGTTGATGTTGTGAGGGAGTATTTAAAATCAAAGGGTTATTGATCATATTCCAAATAAAATTGCTGTTGATTTTGTTAAATAATTTTCCACAAAAAATGAGAAAATTGATTTATTTGTTGAAACTTAAAAACTACAACTAGAAACCAAATGAAGGTCCCTTCTGGGCGAAGCATGTAGGAAACAGGAAATACGGAAAATGTTGTATAGAATAGATAGTTTAGGGTCATGTTGCAGAAGCCGCTGACACAGGGCCCGGCAATGTCGAACGCTTTAGAGCTTTTCTTATTGTAGTCCAGTCTTCTAGAATATCTTCCTCGTGTAGCATATACACAATAAATGGGCCGGTGACAGTAACTGCTTTCTTTCGAGCAGGTCCTCGAACCTTACTGTGCCGCTTATCGTTACCCCAGTCATCCCAGGATATATCCACATTGTGTCTGTCCTCTTCGAGACGTCTAATTTTCTCCATTAAGTCATCGTAAATTTGATCTAAAGCCAACTGTTTTTCACTCTGTAAATAGGAAAAAGTTATACTGCGTTTTCTTTCGCATTGTCTATCTATGGCGATGTGTTACCTCAAAGTTTTGTAAAGCTGCTTGTTCCTCACTCAAAAACTTGTGTTCGATATTTTCTAAGCGATACCGCCGTAATATTTCCGCCACTTCAATGCGATTTTTGTATACTTTGTCTAACTCCTTGAGTGGTTGTAAATATTCCTCGGAACGTCCATTGCGCACTTCAGCCGATTGACGTTCGATTTGATTAATACGTTCGGTATAGTATTGTTCTCGCAATTGATTGAATTGCTTTTCCAAGTGATCTATAACAGATGAATGAAAACATGATTTCTTTGCTTAACATGGGCCACGGTATAACTTACCTAAGATTTCTAAGCATTCCGTTCGCCGCCTTTCTATTTCATTAACATCCATTTCGGATGAATCGTCGGAATCGATTTCATTGGCTTCCTCATCGCTAGATTCATGACCTTGGCTGGAGTTGGAATGCTCAGATTCCGCACCACCTGAAACGTCACCATCTGACTCTCCGCCACCACCATTTTTCACGGGCATTTTGTGTGTGTGTTACCTTTTGTACTCTAGTGGAAAGTTTTACGAATACTTTGCAAGCGTTCTGAAACGCAGTTAGTTTTCTATTTAAAATTAATAAAAATTCGACTTTTTATTTGGAATAAAACACAATATACATATTTTAGTTGTTGTTCACAGAATTGTTCGCAACGAATAAAATTGAAAAACGTTCCACTTGCTAACGAATGGGAGAGAAGACAAAATGACCGATAAAGAAGAACGAAATATTTACGAATGAGATGGGATGAGGACTGCGGGATAAGTAAATTGATTTTCGATTAATCAAATTTTCGTATTGAAAGACTATAGCGGTGTACACACTAGCACTTTTGAATGACACTCTTGCCAATTTTGCTTCATCAGGCAAACACAAAAATATTCATGGTTGTTGGATTGTCAGTAATCGATAAAAAAGCTGCCACTCAAAAGTGCCAGTGTGTACACCGCTTAAATATCAAAATGGCTGAGTAGTGAAGTTGCTGTCATTTTTCAAGAAGACATTGTTGCTACAGGGTGATTAAGACAAAAATAAAAATGGTGGTGGTATACAGATGGCATGATAGTGTGCGATAAAGAATGTGTAGCTAATAGTGTTCTTAGCACCTAGAGTTTGTAGACGATATAATGTAATATATAATTACACATATAATGTAATCTATACATAGACCGCAATTTTTTAAAATATTGCGGTTATGGACAATAGCGATACCTATAGCTTTAGTAGTGATTGTTTAAGGGGATTAAGGCGCGTTTAGACTATGATTTTTAAATCGATTCGATTTGTACCAATCTCAAAGGTTAAAATTTGATTTACCAGCTTTTATTTCTTTACGTATGCATAATACACATTACACTGGTTTCATAATTTCAAGCTAATCTCTAATGCCATGTTCTGACGGGCATTCGAACAACGTAGTTCGCTCTCAGAATTACGTACATGAATTAACCCGTTCATACAACACTAATTCATGTCTTCAGAGTTTTTTATTTCAAACTTTTTGTTTCTTATTTTACAGCAAAATTCTAACATATTTGCATGAATCACATATGGATCTAAATAAAAAAAATTAATTCTCTTTCTCCTGACTATAGTATGAACCCATATCTATTTACTTTTAATTCATGTTTTCCATTTTTTCTGAAAATATTCTTGTTTTCATACATTTCTATATTTTCTAAATTCAAATGTCACATATAAAAATTTGGAGAATTTTTTGTTTGACTTTCCCCAAATATGTTTTTTTGTTGTGTACGCTAATTAGAACCAAGGAGAAAGAAATTCATATTGCATTATGTAGATAACAAAATTTACATCCTGCTGCATATATAAAAACTAGACAATTTTTTACTTTTCATTCATCATTTTCAATTTTACTAAAAAAGTTTGAAAATTTTATAAATATTTTCAAGCTGTCAAAACTAATTTATTTTCGATAAATGCTCTCAATTGTTAGGGATGGGAAAAATTTCTTGGTTATTCAGAAAGTGATTCGAATTGAACAACGTACAAAAGTCGGTGTTCTCTCAGACAATTTTGTATGGGGAACTAAGTCTTGATTTAGATTAGGCGAGTTTACTTGCGGCAAGTCTTTGTTTGTAGGAGAGAGGGGCAAGGGGAATAGAAATGAAAAAAAATTGCTCGTACCGACAATTTTCTGGCAATTCGTTTTGTGTATTTCGTATTTGTTGACATTTTATATAGATTTAAATGTGAAAAAACAACAAATAGAAAAATATTTTGGAAACCGAATTGCCTTGTATAAACGCATGAAGCAAGTTCAAAAGAGAACGACAAGAATTGTGGCAAGTAAACTCGTCTAATCTAAATCAAGACTAAGTAATTACTTCATAATTAAGGGACGAACAAACAATGAGAGAGCGAACAACGCTCGTCTATACATGGCATAAGAGGGAATAAAAAATAGGCCGAGGAACAGCCTACTGTTGTGGGAAGTCAATCTAAGAACGCCTAATTTCATGTAAATCTAGTCCCAGTCTACACTGTATTAATTCAAAATGCGCATGTCTGTTTCAAAACTGCGAGAATTTAATAGTGCGATTACATTGTATCGGATTTCATTAACCCAGTGGGTTTCAATTGTCAATTCAATTGTATACATGCCAAATAAACCCTCATAGAGTAGGTTAACCTGGTAAAAAGTTCTAATGTAAACGCCGTTAAATAACAACGTTTTTATTTCAATAAATTAAAGGAAAAATTATTATCGTAGTCAAATTTTGTACATTCTTTCAGGTTCTAGAACATATATATTTAAAATTATAGTAATATTAATTATTAATCAGTCATATTTTTTAGGAAACTATTTTGAATTGCAGATATTTTGAAGCAAACTTTTTGAAGAAGTGCTTGTTTTTGGTGCAAAATCAGGGTTGTCTTTGAAATATTATCGATTTAGTATAGTATTTCGAGCAAATCGAGATATTGAGTGGATTTAATTTTGTATGATAAATCGATGTAAATTCAGCCTGATTAGCAATTAAATCGATATAATATATTTTATAACCATAAAAGCTTTCGATTAAACGTGCCTTCAGTACTTTCTGAATAAAAACCAGAAGAAAACTGCAAAATCTGACATCAATAGATTTGCGTAGCATAGGGTGTATGATGTTTTCGTGCGTTGTTTAAAATACATTACTGTAAATCGGTTTTAGGAAACAAATAACGATACAACCTTAAATGCTGATTTTCCACTCGATTTAAATGCACATTCAAACTTTATATTTTATATAACTATTTAAAACCTGCAATTTCACGCAGTGTCAAATATTTGCGAATAATGAGAATATATTATCGTTTTCCCCCCTACTTACAATGTTTCATTAAAATAAATATACATGACAATCTGCTTTAGTATAGCATGCATTGAAATGCAAATGAAATGAATTATATATTTGTTTGTTATCGCATTGCATTGTTTTATAACCTAACACAAATAACTGAGTATTCATTTCATTGGCATTGTCATCTCCTTGCAAATTACATCGCACTAACCTATAATTTCAATAAACGGTTGTTAAACACCAAATCGTTTAGGATGGACTCGAATAAATTCGAGTTCATAATTTTAATTATGGACTAAGATTTTTGTGAGAAATTTCCGGAAAATATTTCATTTGAGACAAATGATATGTTAAGATAAGAATGTAATTAGACACGATTTAAATATTCTAGAAAAAAGACAATCTGACGTATAACACCACAAATTATAATGTCCATTAATAATGTGCTATATATGTGTCTATAAGTTTAAATTTCTGGGAAAGGGTCTTTATTTGAGAAGACGTACATCCTTGAAGAACATGCTCCGCCAATTAAAGTACGTTTAGATTTCCGAAATGCCATATATTATCCAATGGATTTGTGAAATGATTAAAATGACGTATACGCTATGGAATTGACATTTAAGATCGAGTGGATTTAGTAGTCTAAACGTGCTCTTATAGTATTTTTGCTCGTGTTGGTTTATGTTACTTTGCAATTGTCAATTTATAATTTTCTTTTATATTTTAATGAGTTTGGTTAGATCGTGTTTACATTATTGCCTCTATTGTGATAATGTTAACATCCACTCATTATCTCCATTTGCTCGAAATCCTATGCTAAATCGAAATAATTTCAAATGCAACCCTACATTTGCACCAAGAAAGTAATCATTTCTCATTATAGTACGCTTCATAAAACTTTAAAATCCTAAGTAGTTGCCCAAAAGACAGAACAGCTGCTGAAAATTTAACTTTTTCTATAGTATATTTTAAGACAGCAACTGATTTTTCGTTCCAAACCCAAAAGAATCTACTAATTTTATAAGGTTTGCAACTTTTTACTCGAAAGCCGTTCTTTATCCCACAACACTGGTAAAACATTGAAACAAATTTAAGAGAACACAAAACTAAATGGCGTGTTCTCTTTGTAAACTTTTTACTCCAAAAAATTAGTTC